AAATACCTCATCTTCTCTCTGACTGTCTGAACAGTGTGTGAGCGAGACGGTGGCACGGACATAGGGTTTTGTGCCAGACCGCAGCAGCCAGGAGCTTCACATCGGCCTTTGAGAAGCGCAGCGCAGCAGACTGCGGACTGAGGACGTCGGACCGCAACAACAGGGCTGCGGAGAAAAAACGAGGAGGGATTTTTATTTTTCATTTTCTGACACAGCAACGGCCTGATGTGTAAGTAAATGTAACTGCAGCTTCACTGAGCTCCAGTCAGCTCCGAATTCCCAGTCAACAAGAAAACTATACCACGTCTGATTAACCCCTTTGACGCTGGCTTTGCTTTATCGTTCTCCTACAGCTGAGTGTGTAAAAATATAAAAGCATTCTTCCACATAAATGTTTTTTTTTTCTTTCTATTCATCTGATCACACTTTGACGTAACATGTACATTATAAAAGGGGCAACTATTCCCTTTGTCACAAGCTGGACACCATATAACAAAGACCATGTCATATATACATATATACTGCTGGTTATTTCTTGTTCTGTGGACTAATTTTTCTTCTACAAAGAAATGTGCAGCAGTCTGTGTTACCCTCCACAGTTCTGTTACTTTACGCATGGACAAATCGTTATTGACTGGGATTTGTGGCAGGAGGACAACTGGACACACTCACTAGAAGGCAGACCCACTAACAGGCCTAATGATAGGAGACCTTATTGTAACGCCGTGGTGCACGGTCCCGGCGGAGAGGAGCAGCAGGAGACGTGCCCGCGCAGCGCCCTGATCGACCAAAGCCGGCGGCACCGGACGGCGTTCACGCGCGAGCAGTTGTCCCGCCTGGAGCACGAGTACGGCAAGGAGAGCTACGTCTCCAGACCCCGGAGGTGTGAACTGGCCACCGCGCTCAACTTACCAGAGACAACGATAAAGGTACTGCGGTTAAAGTCGGTTTGGTTAAATGACCATGCTTCACCATGTACCGGTTATCTAGTACACGTGCCCACTACTCATATGTTCTGTCACTTTTGATCACATGGCATGGTCTTCAACAACAGATCTGCTACTTGTACATCGCGATTAATTCACCATGTATTTCTACGGCACTGTCATATTTTGCTTTTATCAATACAGCATCATTTCCATCTCAGCCAAGCATTAAATTTGTTTGTGATATTTCAAGATTTTGTTTAAAAAATTCCAACATTTCCATTCAGGGATTTTATTGGCTAATTGAAAATGAGCATAAACACTGGTGGATGAAAGTCCACCCAGCATGACAGTGGGCCAGGAGTGAAGCAGCTTCAGTGGAATTCAGCCATTATTAATCATTTATGTATTTTCTATTTACACCTGTGCTTTTCCTATAGTGACATATCAGATAGGCCTTTCCCACTGTAACCTTCCGACCAGCAACCCAAACGTACACCCCTTGTCATGGGTCTTGCTTTTGTTTCCACTGGCCCCCATGACTCAAACTGACTAACTGAAAAAACACACTGTCACTTTATAAGTATCCTGAAGCTCTGACTTGTATTTCAGTGCCACTGATGGCACATATTCCTCATTTAATTTGTGGTCAATCAAATTATCCCAGCACAGAAATAGTATAATGCACTTTCATTTGTTTCTGTTCAAATTAAACAAACTAAATTTCAAATGTTAATTAGAAAGCAGGTGTGTTCTTGAAATTTCCACCTGCTTGTTGTCTTTATGCTAAGCTAACTGCTCTTCAGTGGCAGCTCCCTAGGAACAACAACAGTGCCTTCACTCAATAATGAGCCTATACCTCCTTCACTGATTTTTGACATTCTGTTGTCTTACTTCATTTATTCACAGTGCCGCTTACAGCAGCATACAGCTGCCACCAAAAAATATTTGCTCACTTTTCTCATTTTTACAAGATAGGCACCTTCATCTTAAAATGTGATATTTTTTATGTTGTTAGGACATTTTTTATTTTCTCCTTATAACAACATGCTGTATTTTTCATAATAACAATATACTGTAATAATTTGAAACAACAATGAAACATAGTTTCAAATTTATGAAGAAGAACCATCTAATCACCTGTGATAACATTCACTAAAGAGTGGATGATATCATTTATGCGCCATAACGTGAGCCCTGCACAGCTTGGAGTGAGTGACAGCAGTGCACTGACTTTATTTGCTGTCAGTAATACTTGTAAGATGACTGGGACATATGCAGGGTACAATGGCTCGGGAGCTGCATTCTTATGCTGTTTGCTCACCTATATGTAAATATTGTGTGTGGGCTTATATGACCGAACAGTGATTGTCAAGGACTGGCTGGAGTGCACCTCCTGAGTGCAATGCTGGGCATTGTGTGGAAAGTTGGTAGGGGTGAAAGCGAGGCTGCTGGAGGGGGGTTTCAGGTGGTGCTATGCACATTGCTGCAGCGATGCTCCAGTATAAGGGGCAGACAGAACTCGCCATAACTCCAGTCCCTGAAAATAACTGTAGCAGTGATCCATTCAGTGTGTGTTATCATATTAGATGGTTCTTTGGCCATAAATATGAAACTATATTTCACAGTATATTGTTATTATGAGAAAACAGAGTATGCTCTTATAATGAGGAAATGTATTAATTAGTTATAATGAGAAAGTAAATGATGCCATAATAACATGGAAAATATTACATTTTGTCGTGGAAGTATCTCGTAAAAACAATGTTTCTTGATACAACGGGATACTGAGCGATTTTATTTTCTCATGGTGACATGAGAAACACACATATAAAACCAAGCAGGTCAAAACAGAAAGTGAAAAGTCCTAAACAACAGCACCCTTTTGAAATTTCCCATGAGTGTGAGTTTTTCATTTGTTATTACAATTGGTAGTGACAGGTTTAGCAGTGTCCTAACGTTTAACACAGAGGCCCTCTGGCCCAGTGCAGCAGCTTTAATATGAACTAAATGCACTGACCCTTCTAGCAACTACTGGAGGGTGTTTTGTGAAAGAGCTTTTTTTTTTTTAAATGACATTTTAAGACACAGCCTTCTGGGAGATTTTGTGCACTGGTAAAATTGTTGAAGATTGAAAAGACAGTTTGTCAGTCTCACCTTTAAAACATGAAAAAAGAGAGATGTGACAAACAGCCATTCACTTGAAAAAATGAAGTGAAACAGTCCAATTTATTTAATCCAATTATTATAACAGTTTGTAGTAATAGACATTTAATTTTTTAGCTATTGTATACCTGACACAGTTCATCCTTTCTTTCCTGCCCTTTTCTAAATCTGCCTCTTCTCACCACTATCACCCTGGTTACTTTCTGCTTTCCTCTGCCACCCCTCTCTCCAGGTGTGGTTCCAGAACAGGAGGATGAAAGATAAACGGCAGAGACACTCATTGCCTTGGCCTCACCCACTAGTTGACCCACTGGGTGCACTCTTGATGGGCCGTGCATCTCCTTCTTCCACTTTGCCGTACCCATTCATTCCACCACACCTCCCCCAGCTCTCTCTCCACCATTACTCTCCCCTGCCTCTCTCCTCACCAGAATCCTCAACTCTCTATCCCTACAGTTCATCCATTAGGCCCCTGGATGCATTCCACCTCTCCCAGTATCGCAACAGGCCAGGGGGACTGGCCCCAACAACAGCAGCCCTCTACCCCTCCTCCAGAATTGTGCACCATCCAGCCTCATGCCCCTGTCCTGTTTGCCTGCACTGGGGACCAGAACAACTCCTTAAAGCCAGAGGAGAGGCAGCAGGGCTGAGCCGGCCTCGAAGTCCCAAGGCAAACATCCAGTCTGCTGGCCTGGAGCGGAGAGAAGAGACAGTGTAAATCCCACGATCTCCAAGGTTGTCAGCCTGCTGTCAGATAAGCTGCTGCAAGTGAATGGCAGGACACAGTGTGACTTTAATTAATGCTGTCTGCAAAAGGAGCTTGCCAAGTCACACAGAGATAGACTACAAATTCAAGTGCTCACCCATTATGCAGTTCTAAATAACAGGCGTGACTCACAAGCACCTCAAAACAGCAACTGGACACACATAATGTTTATAACAAGATAGCACAATTTGCAGAGTACTGGAGACTGAACGCTAAACGGCCATTCATGTTTTGCGCCTCCGCATGGCCACTGAAGTCGGGTGATGCAAATTTCGGCATCTCCTCAGGTCCACCAGGGTCTTCATGGACTCTGTGCAGATGTCTGCATGCAGGCAGAAGGTTTCTGTCCACGCCAATGGTCCACACAGCAAAGGATAAATTTACTTTCAGCCTGGATAAGTTGAATTTACTTAAAAAATTTGAGGAAACTGGTTGCCTTAAAAATATTAAGTAATGTGCAATGAAAACTTGAGTTTATTTAACTTAAAAACTTGAGGGGCTAGATTTGTTATTTTAAGTTCAGTACACTAAATACCAAGTTTATTCAACTTAAGATTTTGTATAATATCAATTCCTTTGATATTACCAGTAGGGACTGAATTTAGTACTAACCTTCATCAAGGTTTGCATTGTTTTCATTATTATGAAAAGAAATAACTATGACTTTATTTAATATAGCCTATTTTAAAAAAGCAGAGCATTTCCACCATGAACGTCTAACTCTCCAACAGTGCTGTGAAGTATGCTAATTTTGTTTCTTTACAAACTTCATTTAATGGGTTGAGTGAACATAACAGTTTAGTGGTCTGGAAAAAACACCTTTACATTCTAAGTTGAATTAACATAAAATAATCAAACCTCGTATCATGTTTTCCACTGTACAGTCCACCAAAAGTCTTGAGTGAAAATGTAGTTTTGAGTTCTGAACTTCTGACTGATTACAAATTTGTATTTCCAGTGTCTCCCCGGTGCCAAAGCATCATCATCACATGTCAACAGTTCAAAACTCCTAAATATTATCTTTAAATCCTTCCAGTTCAGAGAAACTGGAAACATGAAAAAGTTCTTCAATAATTAATCAATTAGCCGAAGAGGGAGCTAACCAGGTGGCAGAGCGGCACGGTGTTTAGCACTGTCACCTCACAGCAAGAAGGTTCTAGGTTCAGGCCCCAGCCAACCTGAGGCCTTTCTATGTGGATTTTGCCTGTTCTCCCTGTAGTTGTTCTCTCTGGGTACTCCAGCTTCCTCCCACAGTCCAAAGACATGCAGCTTGGGTTGATTGGTAACTCTAAATTACCCCTAGCAGTGTGTGTGTGTGTGTCTGCATGTCAGTGCTATGATAAACTGGCAACCTGTCCAGGAAGTACCCCGCCTCTTGCCCATTGTCACCTGGGTTTGGCTCCACAGGCCTTGCTCTTCTAAGACCCTTACAGTAAAGGGACAGACATGCTTTGCATGTACCCTTCTACATATATGGACATGGATGAGGGACACACATTCCTTTTCATACTTCAAATGGAGGTTCTTCCTTCTGTCTGCATACGCCGACAGTTTTCAAACCTTGTGGTTTATGTACAGTCGGGCCTTTTACAGTGCAAACCTTCACAAACCTTTGGCCAACATGTGGACAGAGTTTGTGTGGACCCTTGCAGAAATTGGAAGATGAAGAAAATGATGTCACTTGACCTTAGTGGACATGCAGACACGCAAAGCATGAACAGCTTCTTAGGCTGTTATATTAGTAATAACCCCCCTGGCATGGAGTAGCCACACACAGACAGTGTCCATATCAATCTGTGGCTGTGTGTTTGATGTGATTCAGATAAAATATCTTATTATTTCTTAGGAAGTTTAACTAAGAAAAATCAACATGAGGGTATATTTTGAAGTGGCTCTAAAAGCACAATTACACCAAGTGAAGCCTTTAATGTACATATCGTAGTTTATGAGTTGATTTTCATGAATTCCTCTGCTGAAATACTACTGACTACTGCTTTTATTTATTTTTACAACTTTAAATTGTTCGCTGACACAATGGGCTATTTCAGGGTACGAAGAGTAGAGTTTAGCTGTTTACATTTCACTCGAGAACCCAGTAAATCCTTACAGTAAATGGAATACATTCTCACTAATCCTGTGCAAATGCTAAATTAACAGTAGCCTTTAATACCAGCATCCACATGCACACAAAGGAATAGTTCAGTATTTGAGTAAATACACTTACTCACTTTACATTTGAGAGGAGGATATGAAGCTCAGAGCTGAAGATGTGGTTAGCCTAGCATGGCAAACAGCTAAGCTAACAGGCATAGGATTGATATTTAGTTCATTTTATTCTCAGAAAATTAAAAAACATATCTCCCAAAATACTGGGCTATTAACTGGTTGTTGACTTGACATGGTGACATTTCAGTATGTTCTGTATGTCCCTAATGTGCCTTTCTATTTGCATTTGTGTCACCTTATGCTGTATAATAATCCCAATATGTAACATTTTAAGAACAATTACTTGAAGATTAATAAGAATGTGTGTATATGATTTTTTCCTGATCTTTGCTCTGACATAAGACCAGTTGTTAAGTAATCCTCTGTTATGTTACACAGCCATAAAACTCTGCAGAACAGAGGCAGGCTTTGTCTTGCCAAGGAGCACCACACCCTGAGCCACAGATACAATAGCTGTATGTTTGCACAGGTTACAGAACAGAACCTGAGCTGCAACCTAAGGAACTAAAAGAGATCACATTTTGTTGATAGGACACATCAGAATTTATGTTTATTGATCTTTTTAACATTCAATTAGAAAACTAAGAATTTTATGGCTGTGACTATACACAGAAGAAATCATAGCAAAAAATGTTTGATCAGGTTTTATCCATACGGACTAATAACTGAAAATGAGCACAGACACTATTTGCACGACCAGAGTATGGAGCATGATGTTTTACTGTGTGAGGATTTTAAGGAATGAATTTTAAATAGACTGTCATTGTTTGATAAGATATGAACCAAATTAATAAAGAGCCAACACATTTCATATATGTCTACATTGTCTATAAATAATGAAAAGAAATATACAGTATCATCACATGAAAACAGCAATGTTTTCATATACACATATATGTGACACCTCAAATACAAAAATAACACATCCTTATGTTTAGCTTAGTAGAGCTCAGCATTCAGTGAGAACTGTTATACAAAACATTGTTCATATTTATGTCCACAAGAGTGTTTGTTCATGCAAGACATTTCTTAATTGTCCTAGTTTTTTCATTTCCTTCCAGTATAGAACACAGATGGTGGCCGCATACACATTTATGTACAATATACAGCCCTTTCAGAGGTTTATTAAACATTTTTGTGGAAAAACTCTGTTAGACTATATATTTTTTCATAGCATAACTATCAAAGAATGTCTTTAGTGTCATATAGATACAGATATATAGATAAATCTACTAACCACATGGTTGGTAGGGTTCTCACTGAAGACACTGAACCTCCACCCGGTACCTTACTGGCCCATGTGTGAATGCGTGTATTTATGAAAGAGTGAATAAAAATTACAAAGCACTTTGGTGCTCTATACTGTAAATGTCCCAGAGCTCTATCACGATGCTTCAAGTAACTCAGGCACTTTCAGCTGCTGAAAGTCTATACAGCTCCTTATTTTCTGTATATTTCCATGTATAGGCCCAAACACCTCTTAAAACAGTTAATGTTTTTTTTTTACACAACAGTTTATCTGTAATCTTGCGTTCAGTTTTGTTCATGACGTTTCTCCTTTTGCACTCAGCTCCACCTTCTCTCTTTTTCTCCATCTCTTTCTATCCCTGTTCTTTTTCTCTCCACACTGCTCGACCACGGGTACGCTGCACAATGACTGAACCTTGGCAGAGTTTATACCATCAGAATGACGGTCTACAGTTCTGAGCGGCTGTACCTGACCAACATTATTTTTGCTTTGATTTACATATTTCATTTTGCATTTTTACTACTGTCCTGATACTCCAGGTGATAATCAGTTGGATAGGCCAGCTCACAATAGGTCAGGGTCCCACAAAAAACAATCACAGGTTACAAGTTTAACACCAGCTAATATATTTCACAGATTACTGATACCACAGTAGACCACACGATTTACATTGTATTAGACTGGAAAAAATATTTCTGGGATAAAAAGATACAATTTCATTGTAAATATCTTGTTTTTCAACTGGCAGTAATACACTTTGACTCACCATTAGTCTTTACCAGAAATAATGCAACACCTCCTGGTAAGGTTTTATTTGTTGTTTTTGTTCATGGCAGCATAGCGTAATATACTGTTGTACATAGTAAAGATGCATTTTCAAAATCCAATTTCAGATACAGAAATAAATGTACCTTTAAATGTCACTTTTATCGTAAATATGCTGCGTTTGCTTGGTAGAAAAATATCTTTTATAGCCTGATTCAGCCCTTATTCTACTAGTTAGCTGTGGTTCCGGTGGGGTTTTACAATCAAGACACAAACCACTGCTGAAGCAATAAACTGCTTAAAAGATTGAAATTGCTATTTGTTATTGAATACTAGCCAAATAACATATTACTGTGGCTGAAAGTACATTAACTAGCTACCTAATTAACTAAAGCAGGGATTAAAGTTTTCTGTCACGATGAATGATTTGGACAAATTAAAATAAACAGATCTGTAACGTGAGGTTGTCTGATAGAGGAAGTTAGGTTAAGGTACAAATTAGTTAAATAACTGCCTGTGGCTACCAGGGAAAATAGGGCCAGATTCTACATGATTTTGTGAGAGATTTGAGACTAAATACAGTGCATGTGTGAATTGCTACCCTCAAGGCTAGATTTGTGCCAGATATTTAACTGACCACAAATTTTAACTTCAGGTATTTATGTTTTCTCACTGTTTACTGAAAAGACCTGGTTGATTCTGCATGTCTCCCAGTTTCACATTGTCATTTATTTCACTACATTGTCCAGAAAAAAACCCAAAACAGATTACAATATAGTTTATTTCACAACTATATATTGCCCCAACGCAACGTAAATAACCCCTTGAGGTTTTAGGCTACAACAAGAGTTTTTTTTTAATACCTCTCAATATCAGATTGTTTTCCATTTGAGTCTCATCTGTTATTAAAATTACTTTAAGAAGCAGCAGCCACCTGAAAAAAGGAAGGAAAATTATTGTGATGGCAATCTATTGTGAGTTAGTACACCAAGAAGTTTAATGTAAGTAATCCAAAAGGTTAGTGGTGGTGCGATATTTAAGGAGGATTTTAACCTTCACAAGGATTTTTCCTTTGTTAGTTATTACTCTGTATTGGACAATCAGGACGTCCCACAACACACACTTTCATTCTGTGTCTGATGTCTGATTAGAAACGTTTTGCGGATCTTGTCTAACAAGGGGTCAGTTGATTTGCATGTAATACAGCATCTACATCAGCTGACCATTTACATTTACAGATGACCAGCATCACAGAAAACACCATGGCAGTGGACAACTCCCATCCTTCCCTCCTGTCAAAGACTCAGATGGATGTTGTTACTGGTCCAAACAGCTCTCCTCAACAGGTATGGTCATGTTAATCACTTAAGACTGGTATTCTCCTGTCAGTACACCTAAAGCTTTAAAGTAAATGATCCAGAAGGTTAATGTTAGTGGGAGTCTGTAATACTGTAGATGTGAAAACAAAACGAAAGAGACAAAAGTTGTATATTATTAGCATATATTATGTTTATTCGGGTTACCACAGACAATCTGTAGCCACGCAGCATTCCAGCAAAGTACAACTGTACACACTGGGAGTTAGTAGGGGCCCAGCAGCTCATGGGCTGGAAGGGCAAACAGGCCTAATGTACATGCAAAGTCTCATTCAAACATGTGTGTATTGTTACAGTGTGACGTGCTCATGGTCCTGCGACACCGAAGGCGAATCTCTCCCCACCATGCAGGGCATGCAAGGACACGTGGACCCTACGGCCATGTTTTATCATGGGTTTATGAAACAGATTGTTCACTGTGTAACCCACAATGACTAGGCTTCTTTATAACATGGAAAATGCATAGCAGACTTCGCTGTCATCATTTGGTCAACATGTACATGTTGAGACACTCTAGACTGTCTAGTTCATTTTTACTGTCCTTCAAATGAAATTCTTTTTGTAGCCAGGTGTAAAATAAAGTAAAGGCTGTAGCTCTAAAATCCTGTATGACAGAATCTGTGAAGGTGCCTTTACTTTGACAAAGTAGTCATCTGCAGTATATCTGAGGTCGATTTTCTCTTGTGATATTGTAGAAGTTTGTTTTAAAGTAATAAGTTCACTGAAGCCTGATGTTCTTGCTCATGTGTTGCTGAATTTACAATCAAAGCACCACCCGGGGTCCATCTACTTACCGCCGTCCCCAGAAGAGGAAGCGGACCTCAGTGGCCCATCCTTCCAATCCATTGCCAATCCCTCCGTCTGCCATCCCACCAGAGGACCTGCCATTGGTCTCCACTGACCCCCCCCAGCCTTCCACTCCTCCGCTGCGACAGAACAGCCCTGTGAGAATCCACAACCACTCAGTGGAAGAGTACCAGGATCTACCATGAAGTGGTTGATGACATGCTGAAGTATGTGTGTGTTAAAAGTCACATCACACCTTTCCAGCTGAATAAAAATCTGTCTCTCAGCTTTTTCATAAAAAACACTTTTTAGTCATGTATTGCTCAAATTTAATTCTATTTTTGCTCCTCACAGGTACAAGGACGGCAGGGCACGTCCATACACTTTGGAGCTCGGGCCTCAGATCAAGCAGAAGCTGTGGGAATGACTGAATTGTCCCCTGATCAGAACATCGACAAGTGAAGACGGACTGGTGGATGTCGACGTGTCATACAGTGTTGGAGTCTATCCTCCTCTTCATGATGTGGACGCCTCTGTTAAGTTTCGCCCGCAACCCCCTGCAAGTTCCACCTCCACCTGCAAGTCTGGCTGAGAGCTGTATTCCCAGTCCCCATCTGTGGTCTCTACCAGCACCTTGCAGGCTCCGCCTCAACCTGCAGGGTCTGGCTGACAGCTGCAGCACTGATGCCCACCTGCAGCCTCTGTCAGCACCCTGCAAGCTCCATCTTCAGGGTCTGGCCGACAGCTGCAAGCCCAAACCCCACCTGCAGCCGTTGCCAGCACCCTGCAAGCTCCGCCTCCACCTGCAGGGTCTGACCGACAGGTGCGGTTACAACCTCCACCTGCATCCTCTCTCAGCACTCTGCAAGCTCCACCTCCACCGGCAGGGTCTGGTGGACAGCTGCAATGCCAACCTCCACCTGCATCCTCTGTCAGCACTCTGCAATCTCCACCTCCACCTGCAGGGTGTGGCTGACAGCTGCAGCCCCACTCCCCACCTGCAGACTCTATCAGCACTCTACAGGATCAGCCTCCACCTGCAGGGTCTGGCCGACAGCTGCAGCCCCAGTCCCCACCTGGAGCCTCTGCCAACACCCTGCAAGCTCCACCTCCACCTGCAGTACCTGCCTCCACCTACAGGGACTGGTCAACAGCAGCAGTGTCAACCTCCACCTGCATCTACTGTCAGCACTCTGCAAGCTCCACCTCCACCTACAGGGTCTCGCTGACAGCTGCAGCCCCACTCCCCACCTGCAGACTCTATCAGCACTCTACAGGATCAGCCTCTACCTGCAGGGTCTGTCCAACAGCTGCAGTGCCAACCTCCACCTGCATCCTCTGTCAGCACTCTGCAGGGTCTGGTCGACAGCTGCAATGCCAATCTCAACCTGCATCTTCTGTCAGCACTCTGCAAGCTCCACCTCCAACTGCAAGGTCTGGCCGACAGGTGAAGGTCCAACCTCCATCTGCATCCTCTGTCAGCACCCTGCAAGATCTGCCGCCACCTGCATGGTCTGGCTGGCAACTGCAACCCCCATCCCCACCTGAAGCCTTTGCCACCACCCTGCAAGCTCCACCTCTATCTGCAGGGTCTGGCTGATGGCTGCGTTGCAAACCTCCACCTGCAGACTCTATCAGCACTCTGCACGCTCCACCTCCACCTGCAGGGTCTGGCTGACAGCTGCAGTGCCAACCTCCACCTGCAGGGTCTGGCTGACAGCTGCAGTGCCAACCTCCACCTGCATCCTCTGTCAGCACTCTGCAAGCTCCACCTCCAACTGCAAGGTCTGGCCGACAGGTGCTTTTCCAAAATCCACCTGCATCCTCTCTCAGCACCCTGCACGCTCCACCTCCACCTGCAGGGTCTGGCTGATGGCTGCGTTGCAAACCTCCACCTGCAGACTCTATCAGCACTCTGCACGCTCCACCTCCACCTGCAGGGTCTGGCTGACAGCTGCGTTGCCAACCTCCACCTGCATCCTCTGTCAGCAGTCTGCAAGCTCCACCTCCACCTGCAGGGTCTGGTCGACAGCTGCAACGCCAACCTCCACCTGCATCCTCTATCAGCACTCTGCAAACTCCACCTCCACCTGCAGGCTCTGGCTGACAGCTGCAGCCCCACTCCCCACCTGCAGACTGTCAGCACTCTGCAGGATCAACCTCCACCTGCAGGGTCTGGCCAACAGCTGCAGTGCTAACCTCCACCTGCATCCTCTGTCAGCACCCTGCAAGCTCCACCTCCACCTACAAGGTCTGGCTGACAGGTGAAGGTCCAACCTCCATCTGCATCCTCTGTCAGCACCCTGCAAGATCTGCCGCCACCTGCATGGTCTGGCTGGCAACTGCAACCCCCATCCCCACCTGAAGCCTTTGCCACCACCCTGCAAGCTCCACCTCTATCTGCAGGGTCTGGCTGATGGCTGCGTTGCAAACCTCCACCTGCAGACTCTATCAGCACTCTGCACGCTCCACCTCCACCTGCAGGGTCTGGCTGACAGCTGCAGTGCCAACCTCCACCTGCAGGGTCTGGCTGACAGCTGCAGTGCCAACCTCCACCTGCAGGGTCTGGCTGACAGCTGCAGTGCCAACCTCCACCTGCATCCTCTGTCAGCACTCTGCAAGCTCCACCTCCAACTGCAAGGTCTGGCCGACAGGTGCTTTTCCAAAATCCACCTGCATCCTCTCTCAGCACCCTGCACGCTCCACCTCCACCTGCAGGGTCTGGCTGATGGCTGCGTTGCAAACCTCCACCTGCAGACTCTATCAGCACTCTGCACGCTCCACCTCCACCTGCAGGGTCTGGCTGACAGCTGCGTTGCCAACCTCCACCTGCATCCTCTGTCAGCAGTCTGCAAGCTCCACCTCCACCTGCAGGGTCTGGTCGACAGCTGCAACGCCAACCTCCACCTGCATCCTCTATCAGCACTCTGCAAACTCCACCTCCACCTGCAGGCTCTGGCTGACAGCTGCAGCCCCACTCCCCACCTGCAGACTGTCAGCACTCTGCAGGATCAACCTCCACCTGCAGGGTCTGGCCAACAGCTGCAGTGCTAACCTCCACCTGCATCCTCTGTCAGCACCCTGCAAGCTCCACCTCCACCTACAAGGTCTGGCTGACAGGTGAAGGTCCAACCTCCATCTGCATCCTCTGTCAGCACCCTGCAAGATCTGCCGCCACCTGCATGGTCTGGCTGGCAACTGCAACCCCCATCCCCACCTGAAGCCTTTGCCACCACCCTGCAAGCTCCACCTCTATCTGCAGGGTCTGGCTGATGGCTGCGTTGCAAACCTCCACCTGCAGACTCTATCAGCACTCTGCACGCTCCACCTCCACCTGCAGGGTCTGGCTGACAGCTGCAGTGCCAACCTCCACCTGCAGGGTCTGGCTGACAGCTGCAGTGCCAACCTCCACCTGCAGGGTCTGGCTGACAGCTGCAGTGCCAACCTCCACCTGCATCCTCTGTCAGCACTCTGCAAGCTCCACCTCCAACTGCAAGGTCTGGCCGACAGGTGCTTTTCCAAAATCCACCTGCATCCTCTCTCAGCACCCTGCACGCTCCACCTCCACCTGCAGGGTCTGGCTGATGGCTGCGTTGCAAACCTCCACCTGCAGACTCTATCAGCACTCTGCACGCTCCACCTCCACCTGCAGGGTCTGGCTGACAGCTGCGTTGCCAACCTCCACCTGCATCCTCTGTCAGCAGTCTGCAAGCTCCACCTCCACCTGCAGGGTCTGGTCGACAGCTGCAACGCCAACCTCCACCTGCATCCTCTATCAGCACTCTGCAAACTCCACCTCCACCTGCAGGCTCTGGCTGACAGCTGCAGCCCCACTCCCCACCTGCAGACTGTCAGCACTCTGCAGGATCAACCTCCACCTGCAGGGTCTGGCCAACAGCTGCAGTGCTAACCTCCACCTGCATCCTCTGTCAGCACCCTGCAAGCTCCACCTCCACCTACAAGGTCTGGCTGACAGGTGAAGGTCCAACCTCCATCTGCATCCTCTGTCAGCACCCTGCAAGATCTGCCGCCACCTGCATGGTCTGGCTGGCAACTGCAACCCCCATCCCCACCTGAAGCCTTTGCCACCACCCTGCAAGCTCCACCTCTATCTGCAGGGTCTGGCTGATGGCTGCGTTGCAAACCTCCACCTGCAGACTCTATCAGCACTCTGCACGCTCCACCTCCACCTGCAGGGTCTGGCTGACAGCTGCAGTGCCAACCTCCACCTGCAGGGTCTGGCTGACAGCTGCAGTGCCAACCTCCACCTGCAGGGTCTGGCTGACAGCTGCAGTGCCAACCTCCACCTGCATCCTCTGTCAGCACTCTGCAAGCTCCACCTCCAACTGCAAGGTCTGGCCGACAGGTGCTTTTCCAAAATCCACCTGCATCCTCTCTCAGCACCCTGCACGCTCCACCTCCACCTGCAGGGTCTGGCTGACAGCTGCAGTGCCAACCTCCACCTGCAGGGTCTGGCTGACAGCTGCAGTGCCAACCTCCACCTGCAGGGTCTGGCTGACAGCTGCAGTGCCAACCTCCACCTGCATCCTCTGTCAGCACTCTGCAAGCTCCACCTCCAACTGCAAGGTCTGGCCGACAGGTGCTTTTCCAAAATCCACCTGCATCCTCTCTCAGCACCCTGCACGCTCCACCTCCACCTGCAGGGTCTGGCTGATGGCTGCGTTGCAAACCTCCACCTGCAGACTCTATCAGCACTCTGCACGCTCCACCTCCACCTGCAGGGTCTGGCTGACAGCTGCAGTGCCAACCTCCACCTGCAGGGTCTGGCTGACAGCTGCAGTGCCAACCTCCACCTGCAGGGTCTGGCTGACAGCTGCAGTGCCAACCTCCACCTGCATCCTCTGTCAGCACTCTGCAAGCTCCACCTCCAACTGCAAGGTCTGGCCGACAGGTGCTTTTCCAAAATCCACCTGCATCCTCTCTCAGCACCCTGCACGCTCCACCTCCACCTGCAGGGTCTGGCTGACAGCTGCAGTGCCAACCTCCACCTGCATCCTCTGTCAGCACTCTGCAAGCTCCACCTCCAACTGCAAGGTCTGGCCGACAGGTGCTTTTCCAAAATCCACCTGCATCCTCTCTCAGCACCCTGCACGCTCCACCTCCACCTGCAGGGTCTGGCTGATGGCTGCGTTGCAAACCTCCACCTGCAGACTCTATCAGCACTCTGCACGCTCCACCTCCACCTGCAGGGTCTGGCTGACAGCTGCGTTGCCAACCTCCACCTGCATCCTCTGTCAGCAGTCTGCAAGCTCCACCTCCACCTGCAGGGTCTGGTCGACAGCTGCAACGCCAACCTCCACCTGCATCCTCTATCAGCACTCTGCAAACTCCACCTCCACCTGCAGGCTCTGGCTGACAGCTGCAGCCCCACTCCCCACCTGCAGACTGTCAGCACTCTGCAGGATCAACCTCCACCTGCAGGGTCTGGCCAACAGCTGCAG